GTAGAGAATGTGAAGGCTTTGGGCACATATAGGCTGAATGTGCAACGTATCTCAAGAGAAAGAAAGCCATGTGTGTGGCTACGCTAAGTGATGATGAGGAGGAAACTGCTAATGATCAGTCAGATGATAATATAGGAAACTTTGTAGCTTTCTTTACAGCTACAGAGAATCAGTCAGATGATAACGAATCCGATGGTGAATCCTACATATCTACAGATGATTTTGAAGAGAGACATACTCAGCTTGAAATGGAATTTGCTAAACTTGTTGCAAGCTGGGAACAACTGGTGAAAGTCAACAAGAATCTTAATGAAGAACTGAGACTAGGGGATGATCTTCTAAAGAAACTGAACACAGATCTTGTCTTAAAAGAAGATCTTATAACACAGATAAGATCTCGAGAAGGAAAACTGTTAAAAGAATTGGAAGATTTGAAGAAGAACATCAAGATGATGGAGACCACATCGACTTTAGACAAAATTTTGGACTCTGGAAGAAATCCAAATGATAAAAAGGGCCTTGGATTTGAGCGAGGAGAATCTTCAAAGAGTGCTCCTGTGTTCATCAAAGCAGGTATGTCAGCTCCGAAATCAGTTCACAGGTACGAACCAGGACAGTCATCCCGATCAGTTCAGGAAAATGATGAGAGGAAGGGATATAATCAAACAGCAGGCATTAACTTCGGCAGAACTGCTCTTCAATCTCAGTACTCAATGTTCAAAAATAAGTTCGTCTGAGTCAGACAATATACTCCTGTTTGTCATTACTGTCAAACAAAAGGTCTCACCCGACCTGAGTGTTATTTCTTCTACAGAGATCAAAGAAAGGGAAAATATCAGAACAAGACTATTACACATTTCACAAGACAGGTCTGGATCAGAAAGTCAGAAGTTATAAGTTACCCCACGATAGTTCTGACTGCGTCAATGACTGAAGCAAGATGGTATTTCGACAGTGGCTGTTCCAGGCACATGACAGGGAATGTGAAGTGTCTCATGTCTATCCAACCTAGCAGTGGATCTGTTACATATGTGGATGGACAAAAAGGTAAAATAGTTGAAAAAGGTACACTAAATGTACCAGGTTTACCTCACTTGGAAGAAGTTCAGTTGGTCAGTGGATTGAAAGCTAATTTGATCAGTATAAGTCAGTTATGTGATCAAAACTGGAATGTGTGTTTCAATCGTAATTGTTGCAGAGTCAGTGACAACACAGATAAATTAGTCATGGAAGGAACCCGATCTTCAGACAACTGCTATGTGTTGACAAATGAAATTACATGCCATTTGTCAAAATCTGATGAATCAAAACTCTGGCACAGGCGACTTGGTCACATAAACTTCAGAGACATGGATAAAATGATCAAACTAGACGCTGTGAGGGGAGTTCCTAAGCTCAGAATAGATCCAGAGAACGTTTGTGGTGCATGTGCCATTGGAAAACAAATAAGAACTCCACACAAAGCTGTGAAAGTAATCAGAGATAAGGAGATGATCAGTAGCTGGTCCGAGAGGATGATCAGCCACACTGGGATTGAGACACGACCCAGACTCCTACGGGAGGTAGCAGTGGGCCTAGAACTGGTTCACATAGATCTCATGGGGCCAACACAGATTGAAAGCATCGGGGGAAAGAAATATATATTTGTGTGCGTAGATGATTTCTCTCTGTACAGCTGGGTATACTTCTTAAGAGAAAAATCTGAAGCTTTCAATGCCTTTAGAACTTTGTGCATCAGGTTCAAAAAGAGAAGAATGAGCCTATAATCAAAATCCAGAGACTGAGAAGTGATCATGGAAAGGAATTTGAAAACTCTCTATATTCGGACTTCTGTTCCAAAAACGGGATATCCCATGAATTCTCTGCTCCCAGGACAGCTCAACAAAATGGTGTGGTGGAAAGAAAGAACTGGACTTTACATGAAATGGCTAGGGTCATGTTACATGCTTCTCATCTACCACAGCGCTTCTGGGCTGAAGCAGTTCACACAACATGTCATACAGTGAATAGAGTCTATCTTAGACCTGGTACGACCAAAACACCCTATGAGATCTGGAAGGGAAAGAAACCTAACTTGAAGTACTTTCATGTCTTTGGAACTAAGTGCTATGTGCTGATTGACAGAGAGCAAAGAGGGAAATTCGAACCAAAGAGTGATGAGAGCATCTTTCTTGGGTACTCTCCAAATAGTCGAGCATACATAATTTACAACAAAAGAACTCAATCTGTGATGGAATCTATAAATGTGGTTACAGATGACAACCCGGATGAGTCAGTGAAAGCATCAGTATCTGCTCCAGAGACAGTTTCTCCTATCAGAGAAGTAAGTTCTGCCGATGACAACAGTCAGCCCAAAACATTAGAATCCTTATATGATGATCAAGAAAGGTCTGACCAAGAGATCATTCATTCTGAAGATACAGGCAAAGACAAACCTACCAGAACTCAGAAAAATCATCCATCAGGTAACATCATTGGAGATCTGACAGATGGGATGAAGACAAGAAGCAAAGTAAGAAATAACCTTATAGAGATGTCTGGATCTGCATGTTATACCTCAAAGATTGAACCAAAAAACGTAAAAGAAGCGTTACATGTTTGGGATCAAGGCAATGCAAGAGGAACTACACCAGTTTGACCGAAATCATGTTTGGGATCTAGTACCAAGACCTGACCGTGTCAACATAATTGGAACAAAGTGGATCTTTAAGAATAAAACAGATGAAGCTGGAAATATTGCAAGGAACAAAGTTCGGTTAGTGGCACAAGGGTACACTCAGATAGAAGGAATTGACTATGATTAGACGTTTTCTCATGTAGCGAGACTCGAGTCTATCAGGATTCTATTGGTTGTCGCATGTATTCTGTGATTCACACTGTTTCAGATGGATGTTAAGACAGCATTCTTGAATGGCTATCTGTATGAAGATATCTATGTGGCTCAACCTAAAGGGTTCGAAGATCCAGACCATCCATCATATGTCTATAAGCTTCGAAAAGCTCTCTATGGTCTCAAACAAGTCCCACGGGAATGGTATGAACGACTGACACAGTATCTGCTACAACACGGGTATAAATGAGGAAGTGTTGACAAAACCTTGTTCGTAAAAACTACTGGAAGTCATGTAACCATTGCTCAAATCTATGTTGATGACATTGTGTTTGGGTCAACCTTACAGAAATACACTGATGAGTTCATAGTCTATCGAAGTCTGATAGGGAGTCTGCTGTACCTAACGGCTAGTCGACCAGACATTATGTTCAGTGTTGGAATCTGTGCAAGGTATCAATATGATCCAAAAGAATCACACCTGATAGCTGCAAAACACATTCTGAAATATGTAAATGGAACGATGCAATATGGTCTATGGTACTCCAAGGATAGTGAACTGAGTCTGGTTGCATACTGTGATGATGATTGGGCAGGAAATATTGATGATCGAAAGATTACATCTGGTGGATGCTTCTTTGTTGGTAAGAATTTGGTATCGTGGCTAAGTAAGAAACAAAATTCAATTTCCTTAAGTACTGCAGAGGCAGAATACATAGCTGCTGGTGGATGTTGTACTCAGTTAGTATGGATGAAACAGATGTTTTTGGATTATGGTCTTACTCAAGGGATTATGACACTCTACTGTGACAATGTCAGTGCAATCAACATCTCAAAGAATCCAGTTCAACATTCCAGAACGAAGCATATTGATATCAGGCATCACTACATCAGAGACCTGGTTAAATCTAAGGAGATTGAATTGGAATATATTTAAACAGACAAGCAACTGGCTGATATTCTGACCAAGCCACTAGACGCAAATCGTTTTGAAATTCTCAGGTTTGCTCTGGGAATTTGCGGGATTGACTAATAAGGTAGTTTTGTCATTCAGAGGGGAGTAAAGGTTTAATCATACGAGTCAGTCGTAAGAGTTGACTTCCTTTTAAAACTCCCTTCTGTTTTGTTAAATGTATTCTATAACCTAAAATACCTTAAAGATTCTGATCTTTTTCAAATTTCAAATTTCCTCTGGCATCCGTTTCTTGCCTAAAAAGAAGGCATATCGTTGGGTCAATCACATCGCCTCTGCATGATATTTGACAAGCCGCATTGATTAGGGTTCATCACCCTTAGGACTATTTGTTACCGGGCCAATCTTGAATAGAAGAAAAATCTCCACGAGTTTCTCTGCACTCAGTTTTTCTCTCACTCTGCATCTCTGCCCACTACAAGAAAAATCGCGAATCGCGATGGAATTTTTCCGTCGCGAATGGGCAATATTCCGTCGCGAAACGCGTTTCGCGATGGAATGGCGACGGAATTTATTCCGTCGTCTATCATCTTGTCGTATTTTGATAGACGACGGAATAATTCCGTCGCAACTTTTAGCGACGGACTTCGTGACGGAATAATTCCGTCGCAACTTTTAGCGACGGACTTCGCGACGGAATACTTCCGTCGCCAAATGGCAACGGAAGTATTCCGTCGCCCATTTCGCAACGGAACTGTCTGTGTCACAAATCCGTCGTTATTTCTTTACCGAATATTCCGTCGCCATATTATCTTTTCCGTCGCTAATTTCATCGCGTTTTTGAATTATTTTAAAATAAAATTATGATTTTAAATAGTAATGAATATTTATAAAATATTAACATAAAAAATACTATTAATTTTTTTAAAAAAGATAACATAATACTAAATTAAGTTCAAATAATAATACATTACCAATCCACATTTCATACATAATATAATCCTCAATTCAACTCTAAACAACATAAGAATACATTATAAATCCACACTTAACACATAATAATGTCAATTCAAGTCTAAACAAATACACTGCAAAACATGTTAAGATCCTTGAGAGTTCAGAACAAACATCCTTATTCTTGGATTGTCAAGTGTGGGTAGTGACTGACTTTCAATCAGTAGGGGTGTTGCTGTATTGGAGGGTGCTTGTAACATACCGATCTTAGAGAAATTCTAAGGCTTGTAGGTGATGCCTTTTTCAGTGATTGAATTGCACCTTAATCTTTCCTCCTTCCCCCACAAACAGCTCCGGATTGAAGTTGTCTGTCGCGTTGGTAAGCTCGCGAAATGTGAACACTTCTGCTGCAATTTTTATGTCCCCATACCTCAGAATGTCTTCTGCTAGCTGCTTTTGCTTGCTCATCCCTACAACCCATTCAAAATGTTTTTTTTTTTCATGAATCAAGAAAATTACAGCATTTTACAAACTGATAAAATTTGATGGGGGCAACAGAAACTCATAATGGAAATGAAGATCATGTAACAATCTATATATCTTCTTGGGAATCCAAGGAATCAAACAAGTTTTTATCTTCTAATTAATGATACCTTACCTGTTCTCATGGAATGATGGAAATTTGCCTCATTCAAAGAACTCTTGGAGCTTTTCAAAGGATTCTTCCTCATCTTCTTAATCTCTGATTTATAAACACAACACAGGTCATATAATCAAAGCAGTTGTGAAGAAGAATGCATGGGAGCAAGTATAATAAGATTGAAAATTTTAAAAGGAAAGTTCTCAGGCATCCACATACTTGGTACAACAAAAAAATATGCAGAGAAAAGTGAAATGAAATTATACAAAAAGAACAGTGACATATTATAATAGCATTCAAGTATACTCATGAGAGGATAAAGTAATTTAAAAAACAGATTTGATGAGAACAGACGATGTAAGAATATAGGAAATAGGAATAAAGTTACCTAGAAAGTCTCGGACATTCAAAGCATCAACCCATGTTTCTGCCGCTTTATATAATGCTGCGCGCTCATCAGTGATGTTATATTTTTTCTTCAATTTCTTGGATACAAAATACATGGTTGTAGCTCCTGCATACTTTGCAACTGTTCTCTCATAGAAGCTGAAATTACCTTCACACAAAAGCAAGAACAAGTGAACATGCTTGGATAGAAAGAAAACTGAGTCATCATACCACTCATCTAAGGGGGACATACTATATAGATCTTGAAGTGAAATCTTAGAACATACATCTGCATTTCACTGTACTTATATTTCACAGTAAACACCAACTTATGAAATCAATTCCAAAAATTCTCACTAAAGTAATTTACTTTATTTATTATTTTTTTGATTCAATATATGCTCATTTGTCCTACTTAGACTAAGAATTGATGCAAACAATTGAAACTAAACATTTCATGTTCTGTCAGAAGAAATAAAATTATACCTCAGTTGGTGGAATCAGTTTCACATGCCTAGAACTAAATGAAAAAGTGGCATGGTATTATACCTCATCTTCATGTTTCTCTTGGTGTCCACCTCCAACACGGCCTTCATCCTCTGCATTTTCCATCTTTCCTTATACTAGCAGCAATTATCTATCAAAGAAACAAATCAAACCTAAATATTAACACGCCAACATTTAACTTCCACGATTGCTCCTAATAATAAATAAGGCCATTAAACCCCCCCTAACCCAACACTACCAAATGCTGACAAACATAAAAGCAGTATGTGCTAATTTACAATTACAAGTGCGAAGGTTACAACTTCTGTCTCTTCATGTGCAGAGGTATGTGCTAATTTCCAATTACAAGTAACCACTAAAAGCAAGAAATAGTGAAGTGTATGACTGTATGCATGAAGCTGAACTAATTATCCCAGCCCTCCCCCAATTCATTTTATCCCAGGTTAGGTGTGGGATAAAGTGAACCCAAACATTGGCATTGGTGTAATTTGAGTGTTGAAAGTAGGTGCCCACACCTAATCCCCAAAATCAAGATAGTTCAGTTTATGCAGAAAAAATTGTCAATAAGAACTATCCAGAAAAGCTCCCCATATTCAAAGTAACGGAGATAGTATAGAGAAAGCACACTTCACAATATACATATTTATTGTGAAAAAGAGAGAGAGAGACTCAACTTTGTCCATCACTTCAATGGCATGGACAGAGTTCAAAAGAGAACTGTTCATTTTACTAATATTAGGGCAAATCAAACCTAAATATTAGAATGCATCTCTTTACACAGCTTGCTTAGTATCTCATAACAACAACTACTACAACAAAAAATCTCAGACACTAACTTCAGCATACACGCAAACACTTACTGCAGATCAATAAAGAGAAATCAAATGCAACATTACTTCTAAGTGAGGGGGATATGAATTCAAAAAAAAGAAAAAAAAAAAAAAAAAAAAAACTAGCTAATTGGTATTAGGCATGTACTGTACTGTCAGCTCTAATAAATTGGTGAGTGAAGCAATTCAATTCAATTCAATATATAGAATTCAAAGCTACAACGACCCTATCTGATAGGCTGAACTCCTCTGCCCTATCTAATATAATTCTGATTCAATATTAGGCATGTACTGTACTGCTATTTTTTTTTTTTTTAATTGGGGAATCCCCACCCTGTTTTTTTATTTATGCCTATTTAAAAAAAAAAACTAATTTTTCAAAAACAAATTACTAATATTATCAAAAAATTCATATTGTTAGCCTTGAATGAGTGAATCCTTAAACAAAGTCAAATCCAAAATACATAGATTAATAAACAAAATCAATTTACACTAAACAGTAAACAATTTACAGAATTACAATCCATATAGTCAATTTACACTAAATAGTTTATAGTAAAACACAATTACAAATTTACCTTCAGATGACGGAGGGAGAAGCAGACAGCGGTGAGAGACCAGGGCGAGGCGGCGGCCGGCGAGCACTCCAGACGAGAGACCGCTGGCGACGGAGGGAGAGATGTCGGACGGCGGTCGAGATAGTCAAACGATGAGATGCCGGACAATCGAGGGAGAGACAGAGACGATGAGATGCCGGACTGTCGTCTTGGTCACTGGTCGTCCGCCGAGGAGGCGGCGAGGCAGCGAATGGCGAGGGCAGAGGAGGGCAGACCGAAGAGGAGGGCGACAATCGTGTTGGCCGTTCACTGTTGTTTTAATTGAATGAGAGACTCATAAAGAGTGAGAGACTAGGGTTGGCAGACTGCTTTAGTGCTTTTGTTTTAACTTTTAATTGAAAACTCTTAATTCTTAATATTATTAGTATTATATATTATATATAATATTATTATATAAGAAAAATAAAATTTAACAAAAATATTGCGACGGAATCCAGACGGTCGCAATTTCCGTCGCAATATTTAGTCCATATATCAAAACTTAATTCATTTAACAACGGAAATAAGTCAGTCGCAATTTCCGTCGCTATTTCGCGACGGAATGAGCATCGGTTGCCTTTTCCGTCGCAAAATGGGCGACGAAGATTAGTTCCGTCGTAAATTCGGTCGTGAATATTTTGCCGTCAATATTTCGCGGGCTTTATTTATCTTTGCGCCAAGATTCGCGACAGAATTTAATTCTGTCGCCTTTTCCATCGCCATTTTGCAACGGAATGTATTCGGTCGCAATTTCGGTCGCTAAATGGCGACGGAATATAGTCCGTCGCGATTCGCGATTTTTCTTGTAGTCTAGCTTGAATTCTCTCTTCCTCTCACAAGAATCTCTAATGGCGGACCCTGTAAGAAATATCATCATCAAACTTGGAAGCAAGACGCATTCTCCAGAAGTGGCCTTTAAACATATTCAGACATTATTGTAGTTTGCGATGAAGAAAAAACTCAAGCTTGACCCTCTTCTTCGTGATGAGATATTGGTTACTGTTATGACGACCTACCCAGAGTTCTATGCTGACTGGTCTGAAGACGATACAAGTGAACTTCTGATGCTGGTTTCTGAAGCCAGTGATGAGGTTTCCCCAGCTTCTATTCCAGAACCTTCAGACGGAAATTAGGCCGGGGCATTTCTCAGATTTTTTGCACAACGAGCCCTAGACTCTGCTGAGGTCTCTCGACGACGGGCAGAATCACAACCCCTGTACCTCCAAGCTGCTCAAGACGAAACCAGACATAGACTAGAGATCCTTCGTAACAGGTCAAACAATTCTGACTCTATTATTGAAATTTCACCAGATAAACCTGATGATCTTGTATCTAATGCTACTCCTTCTTATGTGCCTGTTGATCTTGAAAATTTATCTGCTTTAAACTCTGAGAAACCCCCTGTGTCTGTTGATCCTTCGTCTATTCCTTTGGGTGAGTCTGTTTGTGTGACAAGTGATGTCTTGAATGTGTCTGATGAAAAAGAAAAACCATCTGATAAGCCCGACATTTTGAGTCTGATTGTTTTCTCTGCTGATAATATTGTTCTGTCTCCTGCTGCGATTGTTGATGGTCCTAAAGAAATTTGTCCTACTGATGTCTCTTCTGTTTTACCTGTTGTTGTTGAGCCTGCTAATCTCTCAAGCCCCCGTAAGTCTGACAAAGTGGATGGAATCCTAGTCTACACTTCCACATCGTTAGGAGAAAGCCTCGAACATGTCCGGCATTTTGCTCGTTTACCTTCTGCTTACATCCCACAACCATACCAAGTGATTCTCCCTTCTGAATCCTTGAGTGAAGATGAAAAAATTCTGGCTGAAGTTTATGGCACCCAAGCTCCTACATCCGAGATTCCAACTGTTGAGGCCACTGCTCATCCCGATTCCACCACTTTCAAAATACGAGAGGTCACTAATCTTCTTGGTGGTTATTCTGCTCATGTGTCTGATTCTAGTCACTCTGTGTCTCCTGTACACTCCCCATCCAAGGAGCCAAGAAGGTCAAAAAGAAAGAATATTCCTGTGAAGGTTGTGGTTGAGTCTGGTGATGACACTGCGGATGTAGATCAACCTGGGAAGAAAAGGAAGTCTAGTGAGCCTGCGAAACCTGAGACCAATCCTCCTGCTCAACAAGTGTTTAAAACTCTACGTTCTTCTGTTAAGCAAAAGGGTTCAGTTGCTGTTCAAACTGCTGTTCTTCCCACACCCTCCACCAGAAAAGGGAAACCTTCTACCCGTGCCAGAGGTCGGAGCATTACACCTGAGGTTCAGGCTGTTGAGAGTCCTGACACATCTATCTACAAACCTCAGTTTGTTTCCCCTACTTCTCAGGCCAAGTGGTCCACCATGGTCAAAAGAGATCTGATAGTCCAAAGATCCGTTGATGAAAACCAAATGAATTCAGTTTGTGATATTCTTGCCTTTGCTGAGTGAAGTAAGTCTACTGAAGACTGTCACTGCCATCTGTCCTTATTCAAAGCTGCTCACCTATGAATTTTACTGTAATCTCAATGATGAGATGGGCAATTTGTCTGGAGTGCGTCCAATGCAGATTTTCATTCGTGGTAAATGGTATGTTTTTTGCCCCGACATGATCTACGAATACTATGGCTTGCAAGGAGTTCAAGAGGAAGCTATTACTGACTGGGATGTAGTAGCAAAAACGATCACTGGTGGACAAGCTGATAGATGGCCTACTGGAGATAAGGATACTCTGCCTAGCTCTCAACTCACCTCCAAATATGTGATTCTTCATCGTCTTGCACTGCATAACTGGCTTCCTTCGGCCCATTTCCATACTGTTGGCAAGCAATTGGCTAGTCTCTTATTCAGAATTGGAACGAAGATGACCATTGATCTAGGGTCATGGATCTACTACCACATTCTCACTCTGATTCACCATAGAGAATAGAAGGTACGGCTGCCCTTTCCCAATTTGATTTTTGGAATTCTTACATCTCAGGGCCTTGAGCCTATGGCGAGCGAGGTGATCAGTCCGACTCTTCTCTACACGGTTGACCGACGTCTCTTGACTGGAGATCATATATGTGATGTTACACCGGTGACTACCCCCTCCAATTCTGAGGCTGATACAGTGGCGGATGACTCGCCGCATGCATGAGATCTTCAACTCTCTATCCAATTGAATGACAGAGTCTCTGAGCTCGAGACAGTTCATGGCATAATCGCTAAACAGCTAACAGGGGCTCGTACGGAATTGGTCACTATTCTTCTTCGTTTAAGCCTGACTGAGGCCACTGCTGCTGATCCTGTGAAGTCTGACAGTGAGACTCCCTCCAACGCTTGACCTGGCTTTGGCTCTCTTTTGGCAAAAAGGGGGAGTATGAACTCAGGGGGAGTTGTTTGCTTTTGTGTACCTTCTGGCCCTGGGTGGGCGACTGTTTGTGATGGCACCTATTTTTTGAAGAATGTTTTTCGTGACTTTGTTTTTTGATCCAGCATGACGTGTATGCTGTGTTTTTTTACCTCTGCTATGTAATCAAATATTGGGATTGTTTTGTTTATGATAACCTATCTTAGTCTTTTGCAGTTTTATCTTTTTAGTCGAGTTGTTTTGCCAAATAATAGCCAAAGGGGGAGTTTGTTAGTGTTTTATTTGCTCGAAAAAAACCCCAACATATAATTGGCAATATTATTATGGTATACTAAGATAGGATTAGCTTAGTGTCAGTTTTGTTCTACAGAGGACTGATCAATCAGACACAACAACAAAGGGACTGACACTGAAGATCTGTTTTAGGAAGATGATTTCTTAAAGGCAGTACGCGTTTTTAAAGAAGACAAGTTTGGAAAGAAGATCAGCGTATATTTCTTGGAAAGGTATGGACCGAATCTTTAAGATTACATTCTTCAAATATAGTCCTACCATTTACAGTCAAAGATATCTATGGAGAGTGTTCTGATGATGGAACTATAAGTACTCTTATTCGATGAGAATTAGGGTTACGTTTTTTAGAGAAAAGAAACACTCCATATGAATTTATGAGATCCCATCTTTGATTATACTGCTCCTTCTCAACACAACATGTGTATGGTGATTATGATGAAGAACATGAGAAGGATTCCTATTGCTTAAACGAAAGGACACTACGATCACACAGTTGTGGGAACAACTGAACAGAGCGTCACAGAAGTGGACTGCATCAGAGTTGGCTCTCCAAGAGAAGAGATTTCTTTGGACTTCTGGATGCATGGCTCTCCATCTTCAACAATTCACTAAACCTGTGTAGACTGGGTACGTACCTTGTGTGGGGCACTTGGGTGAGATTGTTATTTCTTACCTTTGTACATTGGATTATGATTTAGTGGATTGGACGCCTATGTGATCGTCCCCCAGACGTATATACACACTGTATCGAACTGGGTAAACATC